CCGGGACCCCACCCCACCGCCACCGCCCACCGCTGCTCCGCTGGTGCAGCGCGCCGCGAACCGCAAGCCGCGCTGCCCCGGGGAGATGACGAAGACGCCCTCCAGACGTGCCCGCACGCCGCGAGTCACTTCTTGTCAGGCCCCGCCCCCAGAGTCGCGTCCCGTGTGATGAGGGCCCTGCGGCCAATCAGCGGGCGTCTTCGCCCGGCGCGGCCGCCAATCGGAGGGCTGCCGGGAAGAGGGGGGCGGGAGCGAGTTGCGGGTGGCGGGCGGGCCGGGAGAGCTGGCCGGGCGTTTATCCTCACGCAAGAAGGCTGCAGGGCTCCGGAGTCAGCAGCATCTGGGCTTGGGCTGGTGGAGGACCAGGCATTGGGCACCTCGGGACAGGGAACGAGAGGCGGGCAGAAACCGAGTGAAGGGGATAAAGAGGCAGGCATCACCCTCCCCACCCAGAAGGGCTTCCCAGGGCGCCGCCGATCCGCAGGCTGAGGACGAATGTCCCTGGCTTTAGAGCAGGCAGGACCACACGTCTTCAGCTCTTGCTGTCGCTACGGAGAGAAAACTCCCAAAAGCGTTCTAGTCCAGCGAGAGAAAGAGATTTCGCGAGAAATCTGTCGTTACCAAGTTGGAATCGCTCCTCCCCCACCCCTGCCAAGACTGGGGCGACCAAGACGAGTGGCGACCAGATCCTGTGGCTCCACATTCTCCCTGGGGCCGACTCGTGTGGTTAAGAGTTTTGGGCACGCACATTCAGCGGGTTCGGGGGCTTCCGGGTACCAAACTTGTTTTGAACCGTAAGTGCCAGACAGGGACTGGGATTCTGGAGAATAAAAAAATAAAAACGAGACATCATGTCTGTTCTCCAGAGCACACGTTAGCCTTGCAGGGAAAAAGTCAGCCTTGCCGCTCTTTGGGAAACTACTTTTGGAAAAAAAGAGACCCCCATATTCATTACTAAAGTGTATTAACTATAGTGTATTAACTAGGTGTATTAACTATAAGGTGTATAAGAGTTCTCACTGTACACTTAATCTGAAAAAATTCTGATATCTAGAACTGCCCATACCTAAAGCTCTACCCATGTATTTATTGCTTCTTTATTATTATTCTAGTCATGTATAAAATAGATCAGACACGGCTCAGTGCAGCTTTGAAATGCTGCATTGTAATGCCTTTCTTGGCCATCCTGTATAAATTGCCACATACCTTCATCCTTTTTCCCTGCTTTTTTTTTTCTTCTTAGTATCTACCACCATCTAAAATATCCCGTGTTTAACTTTTTGTTGTTATTGTTGTTATTTTCTCCCTCCCACTAGAATGTAAGCTCGGTGAGGGCAGGGCTGAAAGTTTTACTGCCTTTTGCTGCTGCTGCCCTTTTTCCAGAATCTGTAACATGATCTAGCATATAGTAGGTATTCAAAAAAAACTTACTGAATGAATGCAGCTAATGAGCATTGAATTACTATTGAATATTTTAATTACTTACTTGCTTTGCAAATAAAACCATTTCTTAAAAAAAAAAAAAGTTCTAAAATTCCCCCAAAACATGATTTCCTAAGCACTGGTTTGAAAATTATTTTAGATTACTGAGCAGTGTTCTCTGAATGAACAGAAAAATAACTAAGCTTCAGCCTTAGTTAAGAAATTTATTTTATGGATTTCCAAAAAATGAGCTTATTGCATTGCTTAATACTTGGCATAAAGCCAGGCATCCAACCTAGCTACTTGGGAGGCTGAAACAGGAGGATCTCTTGGGCCTAGGAGTTCTAGTTCAGCTTGGGCAACATAGCAAACCCCATCTCTAAAAATAAAAATAAATAATAAATATTCAGCACAATTTGTTATTCAATAGTCACAGCTTTTTTGTTTTTGTTTTTTTTTTTTGGACTTTCATATATTATGAAATCTTCTACAGAGTTCACAAAAAAGCTGCCCAAAAAGGGAATCCATGAGAATGGGGGGAGGAGCATTTGTAAAAAAAAGGAATTCAGTGGGTTGAGTTTTAAATGGACCTTTCTTTGCTCGCCTCAGTCATACTTCCCTTCCAGATGTAAACAGTAAGCATCCAGGTATCTGCAAACCTCTCACCCCTTCCTGAAACAAGAAACTGACAAATTATTTTAGATTTCACTTCTCTACTATACAGTGCGGGTTGAGGTCAGGTTCTGCCAGATCTGATAATTCTCTCTGTATAGTATGGGCAGCTTCCTGAATGTACTCCTATAGGGAGGTCATTCTTGCTGATTGTTTAGGATCCTTCTGCTTAGAGATCATTTGTCTTCTCTGTATTCTCAGCAAGAAGATTGGATTGGTGTTCCCTGCGTATCCTGCACAGCTGTTCAGTTCCTGGTTTTTCTCCACATTTTTACCAGCTGGTGCCTATCCTAGTCTCTAGCCCCATCTTACCATGTGCTATCCCTGCACATGACAAAGCTCTGTCTTATTTGACACCATCACCAGTTACCTGAGCATACAACCATGGGGCTCTAGGGTAGTGGGAAAGGGAATCTGGTCTAAAGACAGCCTACTTGGGTTTGAATCTCAGCTTCAGCACTCACTAACTGTGTGACCTTGGGCAAATTGCTTAGCTGTTTTGTAATAGGATAGGATTATAGGATCCTGCTTTGTAGAATTGTTATGAGGATTAAATGAGTGACCAATGCCTAGCACGTAGTAGGCATTCTCAGTTTAGTAAGATGATCTAATGTAGTGGCTAAGTGTTCATTCTCTGGAGCCCAATGGCCTGGATTCAAGTTCTACCTCTTTTACTTCTGAGCTGTTTGACCTTGAATTAGTTAGCGTGTGTATTATACAGCTGTAAAATGAGGACAATATTCTTCATGAGCTTGTTGTGAGAAATAAATGGCTAGTAATTATAAAGCAGTTAGATGGTATTTGTACTCTGATCTGTACTACTAGCACTTAGTAAATGCTACCCATCCCTGTTTTTTGGTTTTTTTTGAGTCAGAGTCTCACTCTGTTGGCAAAGGCTGGAGTGCAGCGACATACTCACAGCCACCACAGCCTCAACCTGCTGGGCTCAGGCGATCCTTCCACCTCACCCTTCCAAGTAGCTGGAACCACAGGCATTAACTACCATGCCCGGCTAATTTTTTAAAAAATTATTTATTATAGAGATGAGATCTCACCAAGTTGTCCAGACCGGTCTTGAATCCATGGGCTCAGGCAATTCTCTCACATCGGCCTCCCAAAGTTCTGGGATTATAGGCGTGAGCCAACGCACCCAGCCTAACCTTCCCTGTTTTTAATTAACTCATGTATGTGTGATTCTTATAGTTATATCTCCTTCTGTTTGTGTTATCCTAGATTTTTTTTTTTTAAGACAAAGTTTCACTCTGTCACCCAGGCTGGAGTGCAGTGGCACAATCACAGTTCATTGCAGCCTCAAACTCCTGGTCAAAAGATCTTCCTGCCTCAGCCATGCGAGTAGCTGGGACTACAGGAATGCATCACCACACCCGGCTAATTTTTCTATTTTTTGTAGAGACAGGGGTCTTTGTTGCCCAGGCCAGTCTCAAACTCCTGATCTCAAGAGATCCTGTCACCTTAGCCTCCCAAAGTGCTGGGATTACAGGTATGAGCCACCACATTCAGCCTGTATTATCTTAGATTTGACCTCCATCTCTTTGGATTGTTTGGATCCTCCTGGAGTTACTCCAAGTTCTTTCAGACTAAAATTATTATTTGTAGGGCCCCTCCCCGGAGGTGATCTTAGAACTGCCCCTAAAGAGTGACACACAATGGTGTGTCTTTAACAACTCATATCGTGTTTCTCATAGTCAAATCTCCTTCTCTTTGTGTTATTTTAGTTTTTTTTTTTTTTTTTTTTTTTTTGAGACAGAGTTTCACTCTGTCACCCAGGCTGGAGTGCGGTGGCACAATCATGGCTCACTGTATCCTCAAATTCAAGTTTTTGAGAAGAAGCATCTTTTTCTGCAAGAGGTAGATTTCTTATAGTCAGAAGTGATCAACAGTTAAATGAACGATCATGTGACATATCTAGTCAGCAATTCAATGATCTCCTGTGTCAGGTATGTTGTGGATAGGATTCCTAAATTCTGTGAAAAAAATTACATGATATCTAAGGTTTCTTTTCTGACTTTAAGTTGCTATGATTTGTGAAAAGTAAAAAAAGTTATTTCTACTGTAAGGATTAGATGAAACCTATATGCCTATTTCAACAGAGTTTCATAAAGTATAGAGTCCAGCAAAGGTGAAAATTCAGCAGTATCTCTCTGTAGTGCCATTTTAATTCCTTAACCTTATCTTTTTCTCTTGAGGCTTCAGTAGTAGACACTTATTAACCAGGTTAGGCATGAGCCATACTTTATATCATGTTTGGCTGTATAACATAACATGAACCTTAATCTCTCTGTCAGAAAAAACACTACTGGTGGCATCACTTGGCTAGGAGTCAAGATGAGATGGATCTACTTTATGGATGTGGAATGCCAAGTCGGAGAGTGATAAGAGATCTGCATAGCATCTACAAGCCAAGGTCGAAGATGCTAATAACGGTGATGTGGCTGTTCCAGAGCAAAGGTTTCCAACAGATTGAGAGCTTCAGAGATTCAGATGCAAACAGAGCAATGCTATCAGTGTGTAATCCATGATGTTTCATAGGAAAGTGGGTAGATTTGGGCAGCCTTGCCTTCAGTTTGCACCCACTATCACCAGGCTCTGTCCACCTGAGCAGCGCTACTCTATGGAAAGAACAATTTGGGAGTAGAGTGGGGTAGGAGAAAGCTGGGAATCAATCCTCGTATGTGTACTTTTTCCCCCCATTGAGATATTTTATCTATATGTATTTATTATATTCCTAGAAAAAGAGCCTTAGTATTTTTTTTTTCTGTGTTTGTGTCTTGCTTCCTCTTGGTTCATGATGACAGTTGAGGTCATCAGTGCAGCAAAACCAAACCAATGGGATAGGAGCACATTATTCTGCTATTTTTCTGGATCTTTGAGTTGTACATTAAATCTGGGGCTAATCACTCCACACTTGTTTAATCTGCCTCTGAGATTCAAAGCAACTTTCCCAGCTCTGTGATCATCAACAACTTTGAATTCACCAATGTAACCATGTGTCGACATCACAGTTAAAAGTTGGACAATGATGTTGGAACATGGCCTAATAATAACCTGGTGTTTGGGCCTCTTTTTGGCATTCATGCACATCATTATGGTAGTACAGAAAGGTGGAGTACATTTTTGTGTAAATGTGCTAGGGATTTAATTCTGCCGATGGCCAAGACTAGGGACCTAGAGTGATGAGGTCCCTGCAGCTTTGGGAGGGAGAGTGTGCAGATGATGGTGAGGGGGGCTGGGGACTGAGTTGTAGCAAAGTGGACTCCATGATGAACCTACTTCACTATTTTACCTTGAGCTAGATCAGTCAATGAAGTTGTAAAGGGGTGGTTGGAAACAAGACATGTTCACATGGTTGGAGAGGAAGAGGAGGACACCCCAGATGTGAAAAAAGACATATAGGTAAGAATGGGAATGGCATCTGAGGGGAACAGGTTATGGCTGCGATTCAAAGAAGGTAGTCTGGGGCCAGATTGGGTGAGGCCTTGCATTTCAAATGCTAAAACCTCAGCTTTATTCTCTAATCATTAAGAAACCATTGAAATTTCTTGACTGGAGATATAGAATGATCACAATACTATTTTTAGAGTGGGAGATGAATTTGAGGTAGAAAAGAGGTAAGGCAAAAATCCCTATTAATAGGT